CAGTCCGCTTTTCCAGTCCGTTCCAACAGTCAGCGCTAGAAGATCGGAGAGAGGAGGGGGGAATCCCTGCGGGGAGTGGTGACTGACAGGGAGTCAGTCAGGGACTACACTTTCTGCAGGGAGATGGTTGGGAAGTGAGCAAGAGACGGTATGTGTTCGCTAACTTCCCGATCAATACTGATGACGTGTGACAGTTTAATTGTCACACGTCGGCTCTAACTATGAGGATGAGTGAAAATCACTCACCTCACAGTCCTCTTTTAAATTAAAGAATATGTGGGCCTCTGTGCATGCACTTGCAGGTGCCTGTATGTCAGCGTTGTTCCCTTGTAAAGTACTCAGGGGCCCATGAACTGTGGTCACTGATCAATGACAAAAGCAGCCAGGATTCATAGTCAATTACTGTTATCCCCCTTCTGTATCTTGCACCTTACTATTGGTTGATGAAGGCACCCATCAAAGTGATTGGCCAATAGTAGTCTGCTTGTTCGGAATGGAATTCATGACTCCAGCAGAGAAAGGCAGAGTGTGGTAGTGACTTAGCAAACCTGTGCACCCTGCTGGACCCCCATATTATTATTTTTTTTTATTTTGTTCCTCTTTGTAAATTTGCTGTACATTTTAAGCTGATCAGCTGTATCCAAGCCGATCCTCTCTGGCAAGACAAATATTTTGCTGTCTGTAACATACATAATTGGAAATATAATGCCAACTGAGTAATCTGACATAGCTGGTGGAATCATTGAGTTTTAAAAACTATAACTAAGGTGCATTTTCTGTGACAAGATGCAGTTTGATGTTATTTTGTTTAAGTGAATGTTAATTTATTTTGCTTTTGTGCTGTGTTAGTATTTTAGTGATTCCAAGGAAGCCACTGATTATCTGAAAACCTTAAGAGATGGCATACTGAGGAAATATAGCTGCGACAAATCGACCAGCGTACACAAGCTAGAAGACTTGGTTCAAGAATCTATGGTAATTATAAATGGACTGTTTTCTTTTATAGACCAAAATATTTTTGGCTTCTGACCAGACCAGTAGGTAGCCTGTTAATCCTGCATTTAAGTGTTAAATCAGGGATCTACTAATGCAAAAGGACATTGTTAGAATTTAATGAATTAACAATTAATGTCAGGCATCTTGAAGACGTGATGGAATGTAGGAAGGAAATCTTTTGCTCAGGATGACTAACAATGCCTTTTCTTTTTAATAATTTAGGAAGAAAAAGAACAACTTTTGCAGTACAAGAGCACCATTTCCGGTCTTGTGGGGAGGGCAAAGTCAGTAGTTCAGCTCAAACCTCGAAATCCCGAAAATCCACTAAAATCTTCAATTCCTATTAGATCTATTTGCGACTATAGGCAAATTGAGGTCAGTATGATTAGTGGCACTTTGACTATGTATGCTCTGCTTTAGGTATGACTTTGTCTATAGCTGTTCTTTAGAACTGTCACTTTATGCAGCCTTATCTTTGTCAAACATGCAACAAGATTAAAGGGCCATACCATCGCTTTTCAAAAAGAAAAAAAAAATCTGTACAGCATATGGTAAACAAATGTGCCCTCCGCTCCGGGACTCAAGCAAGTGAAGCCCAGTTCTTTTAAATGAATAGGGAACACAAATAGTATTGGAAGGAGTATAGCCTGGTCATATAACCTGTCATGTGACCAAGCTGTCCTATCTCGGAGTATTCTCTATAGCATTATGCAATGAAAACTGTGTGAACACAGGCTCCACACAGCCACCAGCTTTTTTGTGATTGCCACATAAAAAAATATACAGCTGCGACGCTCAGCGGCATTCGGCCATTCACTCACTGCTGTTCGGCATCTATAAGAATAGACAAGAGTAGCCTGTCGAACCTCCAACAGGCTACTCGAACAGCAGCGAGTAGCCTGTCGGAGGTTCGGCTTAGCCGATCCAGATGTTGGGTCGGCTGAGTCGAACTCCTCCTGCACTTCGGGTCGGCTGAGCATGTTCAGCCGACCCGAAGCCACGCGAAGCCACCCGATGTATTGCTGATTTCAGCCATACCAGCCTAAAGTGAATAGCCGAACAGCGTTCGGCTCACTTCACTTCAGATCGGTCATTCACTCGGCTGCCACCCAGCTTAGTTAATAGACCCCCTAAGGGTTTATTTACACCAAAGCACATATCATTGTGCTAGACACATGTATCTGTGCGTCTAGTGCATGCTATTGCACAGCGCACCTAGTGTGTGATATTAGAATAGCACTCCAACACACCTCCCGATGGCTTCGCAGTGCAGCCCAACACGTGGTACCTCAATACTGTGAGTTGTGCTGAAAAAGTAATGCTTACATTACTTTTTTCACAACATCACTACACAACACTTGGTAGGGCAGTATTGTGTGCTGCAACGCACAGCCACCGGAAGCTGCATTGGGGTGCCATTCAAATAAACAGCAAAGCAACCCACCTACCACATGTTACCACATGCTAGGTACATTGTGCGATAGCATGTGCTAAGCATATGGATACCGTGCAATTAGTACTATTCTATGGAGTGAATAGTACCTAAGGGTCCAGATAGCCTGGCCCTCGCTGGATGTCCTTGATATTTTAGTTATAGGTGATGTCTTTTGAACTAAGTACGTAAAAAACACAGGTAGCGATATGCAAACTGTTTGCATATTTTACTTTTATATGTGTGTCTTGTACTGGACCACTGTACTCAATTATTTTGTAAGCAAATTCTTAGACTAGTGAGAATCTTGCTATCTCTGTGTCTGTAAGGTATTTATTGAAATATTGCTCTTCATAATGTACAACTTAGCAAGCCATGTCATTACTTAAAATGTTTACCACAGTAAGCACTGCAGATATATATCACTCTGATATGTTTTCTTGCTCACATTGAGTAGGCAGGATGCTATCAGTTTTACAGCCACAGACAGATCTATAAAAGGACTGGGAAAGCTATCTGCTATCTTTATTTCCTTGCATATTCCTGATGTAAATCTTAACACACATAACCCAACACAGGAACTACACTGAAAAATATAAAAATCTTCCAAGATATTTTTTAAGAGGGCTATAGAAAAACTACAGTAGGTTGTAACCTTGTGTGTACAGCTTCCAGAAAGCCCAAGTTACGCTGCTATTAGCAATTTCTTGCAGTGGGAATCTCAAATCTACCATTTACAAGCAGCAGTTGTCACCCGTTCAAGTTAATGATCGGGTGACAGTGGCCATTTGAAAGCAGCAGAACGCTCGCACATCACATGCGATCGTATGTGAAATCGTACCTTCCTTTCACAGGAGTCTCTAAACACACCTAAACTATGGATGTAAATGGAGCCTTACGTAAGTATATAATTCCTGTTCCTGCAGTGCATATCAGTTTGAAGTGATGAAACATACAGGGTAGATAAATATGAAGGATCAGATTCAGTGTCAAAGCATCATTGTTGGGCTTGGTAGCCGGATTTAACTGTTAGTGAAAGGCAAACAAAAAACAAAGACAGTGGCTAAATTTAGTGTAAAGGTTAAAAGCAATAGCAATCAATAGATGTAAAAATGTCTTCTCTTGTATGTCTAGATTACTATTTACAAAGATGATGAATGTGTACTGGGCAGCAATTCACATCGGGCAAAGTGGAAAGTCATCAGTCCAACTGGCAATGAAGCGATGGTCCCTTCTGTGTGTTTTACAGTGCCAGCACCAAACAAAGAGGCTATAGATGCTTCAAACAGGTAAAAGCTACTAGATAACTTCAAAATAGAATGGAGAATCCTAAAAATATGTTATCAGTTTTGACAAAACTCATTAACAAGTACAAATGTTGTGCCATTCTGAGGGCCACATGAAGTTTGGAGGTCTGTAGATCTTGACTATGTAGACAGTTGGCGACTTCTGCGCACTGTGCGCTTCAGCATGCTCTGACCCTGCTGTCATTTTACGTGGCCTATTATAGCTGCGAAATAGCTTTCATGTGAATAGCTGAATTTACAGTCTGCTTACAGCTGTTGATTTTACAGTATCTTAAATTGTTAAATGAATGACCGTCCATTTAACCCATGCGAAATCTGATCTGATCTTTCTTCAGGATTGAACAAATGTTTCAGAGTGTCCTATCCTTGTGGCATGAATCTCACATAAACATGAAGAGCATGGTATCTTGGCATTTCCTGATGAGTGAAATTGAGGCTATCCGGGCCAGCAAGGTTTCCTCGGTAAGCTCCACTCTCATCTTCACAGGCTCAAAAGGTGACATTGGGAGGCTGATTTTCTAAAGGAGTTGAGAATATTCACTAAAAAAATGTTTGAATATTTACTTTAATTATCCCATCATGTGAAAAGCAAATTCCTGTTCATTTTGAATATCCAGTCACCTTCACATGTGTTTCGCATGACTGTATAATTGATGTGAATATTCACAGAATTGTTTAAGTGAAGATTCTCATCTCTTTTAGTAAATCAGTCTTATTATATATTTGGCCTTGGGGATAGGTTGGTGTACGTGTCTGCATGTATATACATATAGAATTAAAAATAACATCTTAACGTGCTACCTTTCATGACTATACGCTTTTATGGTTTGTTTAAAAGCTTTTCTGCGTTGTGTGTCTAGTGTTCAGATATAATGTTACTTCACATTTCAGATTAAAACTTTGCTGCCTGGAGAACATCAGCAGGTACTGGGCAATCTGAAAACTCGCTTTGATGAATTCCTGGAAGACAGCCAGGAGTCGAAGATGTTCTCCGTCTCTGACATAGCCCAGCTAGAGAGGGAGGTGAACGTCTGCAAATTTTACTATGAAGAGCTGCTAAAATCTGCAGAAAGAGGTGAACACCGATCCATACATAATGTACCACAATGAAATTGGCCATTGCATTATTGCAACATTGACAAATGCCATAAACAAAAGTTTTTTTATTTCAACAGCTACATTCTTAAACCGCTCAGTGAGTGACAACAAGAAATAAGGTGTTTTTTTATTGTGCATAGGTAACTCATATCCTAGTAAGAACAACAATAGGTCCCAGCATTCTGTATCATTATATAGGCGGCAGGGTATCATGGCATTTGTATGTAGTGTGTTCCAACCTCAGCTTGCCATACATATATATGTGATGGTTGCACTCTGTAGTCAGAACTGAGACTCATTTGTAAAATGTATAGTGTTTCATCCAAGACTTAGCATATTTGTCTTTTCGTTTCAGTCCACCTTTACTCCTCTGGTAAGTTTGTTTCAAAATAAAGTGAAGGATTTTTTGAAGAAGAACTCTATCCAAAACTTAAGGGGCCAGATGATTGAGAGCTAAATCCCCCACCAGAAATCATGATATGATATTCCTGAGAGAAACAAGAATCTGCTGAATGATTTAACTCTCCAATTTTCAACAAGATTGGAAATTTAAACTGACACTAAACTCAGAAGTCAGATCTTAAAAATACATTCAAGCACCTTAACTGTTAACAACTCTGTACCTTATTTGTGCATCACTCAGTTGTAGATCCTCACATCATCTCTAAATTGGTGCTGAGACTGTATTTCCTTCTGGAGGGTGGCTACTTTTGTTTCCCATGGCCCTTGTGTGTGTTGTAATGTAGCCACCGCTCCAAGCTCACTCCTTTGATGGACTACAATCTCACGTTTAGTTTACTATTTTGTGATTTTGAGATAGCAATCCATAAAGGGTAGTGAATTTGTAGTGGTGGCTACTTTACAACACACACAGGGACCATGGGGAACAAAAGTAGCCATCCTCCAGAAGGAAGGACATTGTCAGCGTGAATTCAGAGATGATTTGAGGATTTACAGCTGAGTGAAACACAAATAAGGTATATTTTTGTTAATAGGGTACATGAATGCATTGTTAAGATTTAACTCCTGAGTTTAGTGTCACTTTAATTTTTTAGGTAGACTAGTATTTTTAGTCTTAGGTGCACCACATATATTACTTTCTGATTGTGCACTGTCCTTTAGCTGTACTAACAAGTATCTAGTACAAGGGACTGCCTCACTGGATACAAATGGATTGTATAGTTTAGATCGGTAATAGTTTGGTAGTTGATTGTAATGAGATTGTGCGGAAAGATTGTAACGTGTATGGTGAGCCTTAGAATACACTTTTTCCCTATCCCTTTGACCGTTCATTGATATTTGTCTTTGTGGCCTTACATTTTGCTACTGCCTGTTTATACCGTGGGCCTGATTTAGTAGAGTTGTGCTCAGGCTGCCAGATTGGGAAAAGCAATGTTTGCTGTCCTTCACCTGATTGTCCATTTCTGCACATTGTAAGCCCATAGGTGAACACAACAATGCTTAGTAGACTATATGAATATAGTTATTCATACGAGATAACATTTGGGAAAAAAAATATTATTATTATAACTGTAAACACACTTTTCTAAACCTAAATAAATTACAGTAAATGGGAAAATATATCTGCCATGACAAATGTAATAAAACATTTTAACATGTTTACATGGTACTATTTTTTAACATGTAGATGTGTGCTTTGCATGCTTATTGTCCCAGGAGGGGAGTGTGCTTTTTATTTGCAGATGCAAGAGCTTTACTTTAAACTGACAGCCTGCCAAGTGAGCTTATGACCTTAGTAGATCAGGCCCTGTGTGTTAGCTACACACATAGTGACAACCTCCAACACTCAGATAGGCTCAGAATTGTGAACAGCGTGAGAAATGGATAATCAGAGGGTTCATCAATACAGATCCTCTGAAAGAACAAAATTAATTGGGTGATGCTTTTGTTTTAGCAGCTTCTGTAATTAGATATTATAGTTATCATATATAGAGCTATTTTTCACAGTACACACAGTATGAACTGTAGCTCTTGTTAGGCGCTTGCACTATATAACTTCAGAAAGTCCAGTCAACAGACTTTAATAAATGTACTGAACAGTGCTATTCTGTTAAATTACTAGCAGATGTTTTAAGTGCGCAAAAGGCTTTGACTGCATATTTTAAAAGATAGTGGTAGTGTATGCAATGGTCCTTTAGAGTTGTACTAGTAAATGCTGTACTGCTTTAAGAAACACTCAGAGACTAGATTCCAGTGTTTAAGTAGAGCCACATGCTTATTTTTACCGATGATATTAGAATAATTTAGTTTTGCTTAAATAGGCAATTATTCCACATGCCAATGTTAACATGGTACATAACTGTAACATCTTTTATTTAACAGAGGAGCAAGAAGAATCTATATACAACCTTTACACTTCTGAGATTCGAAACTTCCGACTTAGACTGGAGAGCATTGAAGAGCGTCTCATTCGTCAAATCAGAACTCCATTGGAGAGGGATGATCTTCATGAAAGTGCACTGAGGATTTCTGACCAAGAGGTATGACAGGGCTCGATAATTTATTGAAGAGACATGATGTGGCAGCACTGCCATACTCTGGAGTAAATACTGAAATATTTCAGCATTCATCCAGTAATCATTAAACAGCAATTTGGGAATCTATGTGGAAAGCTTTTTTTTTTTTTTTAGGTATTACCTTTGGTCACATGATCTTTATGCATTCATGTTGAGCACACTATGGACATATCCAGACCTAGTTTTGGCCCACTCAATATTCATGACCACACAAATTCATATTAATCTTGTAGGCTTCATGAACAGTTAGATGAGGTTTCGTATCACCATTCAATGCTCTGCACTAGCTAACTCACAAACTGTATTTTCGTACAATACAAATATAAGTTGTAAAATTGTGTAAAGGTCAGGTATCTGCACACATTCATATAACAGCCTACTATACTATGTTGTATATACTGCCAGGTATTATCAATAACCAATAACTAAAACTTTTATGTGGAGATGGTTGGAATGTGTATGCAGCATAATTCTATGCACTGTAATTCAACACTGAAAATGTACTCCATTGTGATCAAGGATGATGTAAATCTTGCTAGTACAATCCCAGATATTCTATACGGTCACACTAAAGACATTTGTACATCGATTATTCTAGCTGCAGTTGCCATCGCAAAATTATTAGCATTGCTAATATTAGATATATCTAGGGAATATGTTAAAAGCTTTAGTAATTTAAATTAGTAGATTATTACTTTTATTATCACTGTTGCATAATTATGCGGTGCATTAAGCAAAAGATATGCAGAGCAGTGTATTCAAATATTTTCCTTTTGTCTCTACAGAAAGTGAGGAAGGAGTTGGACCATCTGAAAGTAGATTTGTCAGCAATTTCAGATAAATGTGAGGAGTTCTTTAGTCAAGCTGCTGCCTCTCCATCCATCGAAGCTTTACAAGTAGAGCTGAATAAAGTCATCCAGTCTATGAACATGGTGTATTCCATGTCTTCCATCTATCTGGAAAAGTATGTGACCTGTTTTAAGCTTATGCAACACCATACTGTTTTTTTAAAAGTCTGGTTTAGGTGATTGGTCTGCAAATTGCTGACATCAGGAGAGATCCATTCTGTATTTTGCTGTACTTGATCTTTCCTGCTATGGAGAGAGCTGAGCACCATCAAACATGCTTGGTAAGGCAATGTCTACCTGACATAGGGGGTTATTCACTTAGCTGCCGAAGGCTAAAATCAGCCGTACATTGGCTGCCTTCAGTCAGCCAAACATGCTCTGCATGTTCAGGTGATCCGAAGTGCAGAAGCAGTTTGACTCAGCCGATCCAACATCTGGATCAGCTGAGCCGAAGCTCTGGCAGCTTACTCGCTGCCATTTGCCCCTTTTCTCACAGGGGGCCAAACGACAGTAAATGAATACCTGAATACCGCAGAGCGGCATTTGGCTCGGCTATTCTGCTTGATACCTCAAGGTAGCGAGCAGAAAATAAAATAAATGAAATGAAAAAAATTTGAAAAATTATAAAACATTTTAAAAAAGACGCATGTCGACCCGACCGCACGCGACAAACTCCCGCTGCTACTCTCGGCTGCTTTACGGGCTATTGTGAATATTGCTTGATCCTTCGGCTCCATAGTGAATAACCCTCATAAAATGAAAGACAACAGATTGACATCTATAAGTCATCTGAACATAACTCCAGGGCTTTATCTTGGGGAACAATAGTCTGTCAAAAATGATGCCCAGCTGACTTGTTCTGTTAGTTTTACAAGCTGGAGGTTTCTGCTGAGGTCACTCCCTAGTAATTGTGATAATCCCCTGATGCCACATAGAATTTCCAGGATCGTTCAATGTTCTTATAATGTATATGGGCACTTTCAATGCTACAAGTCTGAGTGGGAAATAATAGAAATCCCAGAATAGCGATCACTGTGTATTACTGATAACATAATTAATTTGCTATTGTATAAATTGGCATATTGTTGTGTCCAGAGAAATCATAGATTTTTATTTTCTGACAGGGTCTGTTAAAAAGCTCAGAACGAAAGTAAGGAACGTAATGAGAAGCAAAATACAATGAGAGAAAAAAAATAATGTTTGTTTCTGCTTTCCTACCCTAGATTAAAGACAATAAATCTGGTGCTAAAGAACACACAAGGAGCTGAGACTTTAGTGAAGACATATGAGAGCAAACTGTGTGAAGAGGATGTGATTACAGCTGATAAAGGTGCAATTGATAGACTGAATGCCACCCTAAAGGTAAGCATTATCTCCTGCACATACTGAGAAGCATACATAAAGTACATACAAATTATCAGTTCAATATGGCTTTCCTATATTTACCTACTCTGAATCAGAAAGCACCATAAAGTCCTAAGTGCTTATTTATTAATGATGTTCATTAGGGCAAAGCTGAAGTGGCCTACAGTAATCAATAAGATTTATTTCTACTGAAGTCACATACCTAAATGTTGACTCTGGTTGACATAAGGAACCTTTCCTTTTTTTGTATAGGTTTCTAGGTGGTCTATTAAGGTCTAATAATCTGAATCTGTTTCCACCTTACAAATAAAATAATGGTCTGTCTTTAAAGGTCCATCTTCAATAGATGAGTGAATCAATTCTTATGAGTCAAAACTCAAGGGAAATCTGGCCAGTTTGCTTTAAAGCAGAATTAAACTCTCCTTTGTTTTTGCATATATCTACTGCTAGCAAGCATTAGATGTATGCAAAAACATTAAAAAAAATAAAAGTTACCAAAAAGGTAAATGCTTCCCTGTTTCTCCACCGCTCGCTCCTGTCTAAAGATCTGAAGCTTCTCGAGCGTCCGTGCAGGAATTATGGGGCGGGCACATGCGCTGTAGAGATCTTAGCCGGTGAGAAGAGGGGAGGCACAGTGGAGCTGAATGCACGCAGCCTGGAAGCATGCACGGCAGACAGACGCCGACGGACAGGAAGATACAGGAGTCTGTGCTAGATCAGAGACTGGCACCAGCGCTGGAGGGATTTCTGAATACTAGTGGAAGGAAGAAGATGATCGGATCAAAAGGCATCATTTAGGTAAGTCTTTAAAGCAGCATGGGGGGGGACATGTGTCACTTTAATGTCACTTTAAGTCAGGGTTCGCAATGAAGCAGCAGTTTGTTTTGCTGATAAAACTGTCTCAGTAAACTGGTCCAAAGGACTACTTACCAATTCAGTTCTGACATTTCCCACCTACCCCACACAGGAAGTATTCCCTCCAAAGTTGTGTCAACTCCTTGCTTCTGGGTAACCTTAGGAAAGCATTAATATGAAAACTTGTTGCTAATATATCCCCTCTATATTGACAATAACAGCTATTGTCACTTCATCCATGTGTTCTAGTGCAAGTCTGTGTTTTCTAACATCATTTACTAAAACTGCTACTTTAGTAAAGATTGTGCTTTAACAGAATCTTACATTTTTGTTTTTCTTTGTTAAAGCAATGGAGGTCAGAGGTTGATGAGAAAAGAGAGGTGTTTCATGCGTTAGAAGATGAACTACAGAAAGCCAAAGCCATCAGTGATCAAATGTTTAAAGTACACAAAGAACGGGATCTCGACTTCGACTGGCACAAAGAAAAGGCAGACCAAATTGCAGAGCGGTGGCAGAGTGTACACTCACAGATTGAAAACAGGTTTGTAGCCTGTCCTTCTTAGTTAAATCCTGTATAAATACAGGAGTAGATCCTTTAATCTGAGGCACTCGTTCAACAAAAAAAGTCTATATGTTAGTGATATAACAGTCTTTCAGTGATAGGACTAGTTAAATATAATCAAAGGGTATCCATGGTGCACATTTCATTATTTTATTTTGTGTTTTAGGTGTTAAACTGTGCTCTTTAGTTTTTTTTATATTAAGGGAGAACTATGGGGTCAGTGTTTTTCCCCATAGTTCTCCTTAGGGTAACGGGAGGACACAAACTAGCGTCCTCCCGTTACCCTAAGCTCAGTATACCGCGAGCTAGAGCTTGCGGTATACTGAGACGCCGCAGCCGGAGCGGATCCCGACGTAGATGACGGGATCCGCCCAGCTGCGTGAGTGACAGCTGGCTCTGCCTATCTAGAGGCAGAGCCAGCTGTACCCGCCCCCTCCCCCGTCCGTTCCGCCAGTCAGCGCTGGCAGATCGGAGCGGGGAGAGGAATCCAGCCGTGACAGGATCGAGAGGTGAGCGAACCTGGTATGTGTTCGCTCACCTCCCGATCTACTGAGCCGACCTGTGACAGTCTCATTGTCACAGGTCGGCTAGAACTATGAGGTGAGTGGAAATCACTCATCTCATAGTTCTCCTTTAAATAGTGTATTTACAATTAGTACCAGTAGGTGGCAAACATCAGTAGGAAAGCAAAATTACTGAGATCAATAACCCTAGCTGACAGAGGCTTTTGTTGACACAATATAGTAGATGGATAGGGGATGCCTGATCATATGTCCAGTTTGCTGTGGGGAAGGAGGGGGGAAGCAAGAAGACATCCCTGGCAAGATATGTTTTTAAAAAAAACAAGATTAGTTGGAATAGTGTCTGTGGAAGTTTAATGGTACACATAGACTTGGGGATTGTCACTCTATCTTGGAGAAATCATCTAGATCTGGTAATAATCTGTGTGTTCCTTTATCAGTACTTGCAGTGACTACCTCCAAGAGGCATGTTTGTGCTCTCAGGATAGAAAGCAGAATGTACATACATATTTAACAGTTATGGAGACATCATGTATAAATGTGTTTGTGTTTTTCTTCGTTTTTATTAAAAAAGATGAAATATTATTAATAGTTTAACAAGGCAACTTTATTGGTTATATCTTGAAAGAAGAGGGAATAATGCATTTTCTTGTTCGTCAGGTTGAGAGACTTAGATGGAATTAGCAAATCACTGAAATACTATAAAGAATCATACTTGACTCTCGACTCCTGGATTAGGCAAATAGAGGAAACACAAAGTAAACTGCAAGACAGCATGCTTGATAGCAAGGCACTTTCTAAACAACTAGATCAGCAGAAGGTGAGTTATAATGTCAGCAACCTTTTTGTGTACTAAGTAATGCCATAAGAGGCCGTTGAATCATGACCACATTAGAACATTATCTTTAATTGAAATCTCATTTATTGAACATTTTAAAGTTGCTAGTAGCACCGTTCTTTGAACCCGTCGTCATTTTCACATACTTTTATATTAAAGTGTATTTGGGGTGTAATAGGAAACATATGCAAGTTGCCCTCACTGCCTCTGAGGTGTGCAGAAAATAGGCTTGCATTATGTAATGCTCCAGTGTTATAGGAGCATGCAGTGGGTAGGGTTTTTTTTTGCACTAGAATGTAGAATGTTTATTTCTGTAGTTTAGAAAGTTAGCGGGCAGTGAAGATTATTTCCTACAAGGTCTTAAAACAAAACACTTGATCATTATTTTAACTAAAGAGAGAGACTAACCTATATGGGTAATGGTCAGCACATCACTTACATCTGGAGTTTTAGTGCTGATATTCATCATCAGGAGATCCAAAAGGAGGAATTGTCACCCTTAGCCATTATAAATATATATATATATATATATATATATCAGTGCACTGGCTAAACACATGTTGGATATAAGCATTTATCAGCATGTAGATCCTCTCTCACAGAGGTGCCACCACTAGTCTCCAGAATGACATGGTATGTATTAGGACATTATACATCTAACTGTGTTAGGAAAATTTTCAGTTATCTGCTGACTGCTGCCTATGAGTGTTGTACTATTGCACCACTGTTCTATTTGTCTTTTTAGTATACACTTATAAGTATTTTTCTAATGTAATGTCATGTGTGGTGCAGATGCTGATTTCAGAAATTGAGGGGAAGCACAGCAAGCTGGATGAATGTCAGAAATATTCGGAGCAGTATTCTTTGGCTATTAAGGTAGATTTTTGTTTGCTGCAATCCTATTAGCAAAATCGCTATCCAATTCCCAAGACATAATATTTGTTGTTCTATATTTACCAGGATTATGAACTACAGTTAATGACATACCGAGCACTAGTGGATTCCCACCAAAAGTCTCCAATGAAACGTAGAAGATTTCAGAGCTCTTCAGATGTTGTTGTACAGGAGGTGAGCTTTTATGCAGATGCTTGAAAACGATTTTACCAGTATGAATCTACCGATATTTAGCAATATACTGTGCTTTGATAGCTGTCTTGCCTTCTCCCTTAACCCCTTTCATGTTTTGCACCCATGTTATATTCCACATTTTAGGCCTGAAAATTACTTAAAACCCCCAAACATTATATATTTTCTGAAAGCCAAGACCCTATAGAATAAAATGTTGGCAGTTGCAAATTTTTATCTTGCACGATATTAGCGCAACTCCTTATCAAACCCCAAAACTTAGCGTAAAATGTACCTAAATGCACCAGAACACAATAAAATACCCATTTGTTATATAACAAAATATAAAAGATGAGGTTACACTGAGTAAATAGATACCCAACATGCCCAATTAAAAAATTGTGTGCATCCGTGAAATGGCAACAAACTTCAGTACCAGGGATTTCAGGGATCATGTCATCCATTCAGTTGCTACAAACTGATGTTACCACCCTTAATTTCTGATAGACTGGTCTTTAGGTTAGTGGAGAGAGAGAGTGCTGACTAGCTGATAACATATCATCATACATCAGATTTATATTCCTCTTTGTAATTAAAAGTGACTTGTTCTGTTTCATTTCTAGTACATGGATTTAAGGACCCGTTTTACTGCTTTGATGACTTTAATTAGCCAGTTTATAAAATTTTCTGGAGAAACCTTGAAGAGGCTCGAAGAAGAAGAGGTAAAAGAACAAAATGAAATAAATAGATTGGTATCACATAAAAGAGCACCATCATTATTTCTAGAAGAACTGCATACAATGCTAAGTATATCATTTTTTGTACAGTCTCATCATTTTTCTTCTGTAAATAAATTAACTGGGACCTGTACACTATATCAATCCCTGGTTGCACTGGCCCCCTCGTCTGTACAACACCGAGCAGAGCATTGATCAGATAACAAGCAGGATGCCTCTAATGTACTAAAAATGCTTGACATCCGGCCATTGGAGTGAGTGAAAAGATCATTTACTGCTGTAGGCAGTTCTTGCATTTATTTCTATGGGCCATGTTCTGCCCGTGTGGGGCAGTGCAAAGAGGTGAAGATTGCATTTGAAGACTGTATGACTATATTCTTTTTTAATGTGTGGTGGGGTTGTGGAAGCCTTTGCAGCATTACACCTTGCAGACATGTCACTGCAATTAAACCAAATCAATTTTCTGTAGAATGGTCCATCAGCCTGGTAAGAGAAGTACTGTTCTTTTTTTTGTTATTTTTGGTACAGTCATGCATTATGTCAATGTTGCTTGTTACTCTCTCTTTGGTGGAGGGATACTATACTATTCTTTTACATACTAATCATTTATTTTGTTTTCTACGGCACAGACTAAACAGCAGTAGATAGACTTGCAGAAAAAAAGAACATATGATAATCTACAGTTCAGAAAGCAGCCCTGAACTAGAAATGGAGCAGAGTTAAATTATGGCATATTTTTAAATCCCAAACATGTATATAGTGCAGGAGAACAAATGCTATTCCTGCAATGAATACAGTCATGAATTATACATCATGTGCTTCATTGTTATACCTAAACACTAGTTAACGCAGCTATTATTTACACAATATAGGATCGGACTATTCTGCCTTTGCATTAGCTTCAAGTAATGACCTAACATGTAAAAGTGAATTAAAGTACTGTGTTTTCTTTGTTTTTTCTCTGACCTGTTCTGTATATATTGTCAGCTTTGTGTGGTCTTGCATGTTTTGGTAAGTTATATACACATGCTAGTCTTTTTCTATTGACTGTCATTAACCGCTTGGACACTCTAGATTTTGTTTATAGCGCAATATTTATCTTGCTTTTGTGGAGTTGGGTATTTCAATTCTCTCTGCTCTCGTGATACTTCTTTGACACGAAAAGGTGGTTGAAAGCATCTGTCTCCTTTATTAGGCTGATTGTGGTAAGTTGCAACTATATAAACCTCTTTTATGTGCTATTATCTCTGAACATAACATACATTATTTAAATCACTTTTTTTTTTACAGTTTTTCTTTCTTTTTTTTTAACCAAATTAGAAGGCTTTCATTTTTTTTAATAAGAAGGTATGTTCAAATTAAAATCTGTACTTTGAAAATGCTGCTGATGTAATATACCTGGATTTTTAAACAATATTTTACTCTACTTCTTATAGTAGCCTTGCACTGAAGTTGTGGTCGCAAGGACTGGCAGGAAATGTACACCATGTAATGTACATTGGTTAATGAACTGGCTAGAGAAACCAAAGGGTGGTTTACAACAAGACCTATTCTAAATACACCAGATTTTGCAGTCGTGTTTCACAACGATCAGTAATGGGTTCAGGTTTTTTTTTTTAACCCTTTATTACCAAAGGTACAGCAAAGCTTAACACCTGAACCCAGTTTGGTTGGTTTGCAACCATTTTTTATACTAGATTTCTACATTGATTCAGATCGTTCCTCTTTTTCCACTAAGGATTTACCTGACAGATCTACCAGAATTTGCTGCCCATGATTGATAAAAAGGGACACAGTGTTGGGGGGGAGAAAGCGTGTCGGACTGGCAAATAAGATGGCCACCTAAACTCAGATCTCTGCTCTTCCACTACCACTGTTTTACTGTAGTCCATATCCTGCACACCTGCCACATGTCTAAGCAGCAAAAGGCAAAAATTAAGACCTCAAAAAATGTAGCACGGTGTTGATTGCAAGGGCTTTTTTGATCACTCTGATTGGCTGTCATTACGTGATTAGTAAAAGCCTTTGAAATCAACACCATGGTCACAGTGCTGGGGTCAAGCGATTGAGCATGCCTCCAACTCAAAACAGTGATGCATATATGTGGCAGCACAGAATAAGTCCCACCTCCGTGCTGCCACATATATGTGTATGGCTGGCAGGAAGGTGCTAATCTTGTTAACAATGATGGGAGTAATAGATAGCAAGGTGTTTATTGACCTATTATAAAAGGGTCTTGACAAAATGGCATCATGACCAGCTAAATAAATAAAATGTAATGTTGATATGTGTAAGGTTTTGCACTTAGATCCTACTATTAGAGCCCCAACTGGGAAAAACACACCTAGAAAAGAACTTTGGAATACTGATTGTCAGTAAGCTGAGCAGCATCATGATAGATGATTTTGGAAAGACTAAGTAGCCAGCAAAAACATAGGAGACTTGATAGGATCTAAGAAGCATAGGTTAAAAAAATCTGGTCTTTTTTTTTGTATAAAAATACAATCTAGAAATTATATATTTATATACCTAAGGATAAAATAAAGATGTCATTGGTTTACTTGTTAATTGGATATTGAGGAAAGGAGATTTTACTTTCACTACGGGAAGGTATTCAGTGTGATAAGCTGTGGAATGTCCAGTCCTACCATTAAAACTGACTACATTTTGAGAATATTTATATTATTTTCATAAACTTACAGTTTTCAATGTTACAATTAAGAAGCATAGTACTTATTTTTGATCCAGAGAACTAATCCAACCACCATGTTGGATAAGGAAGGCATTTTTATTGCTTGAGAGTGCTAATTCGTTTCTTGGGGGTGGAGGATTGTTTTGCCTTCACTTAGACCGAAATGGTCAGAAGTTGATTTTGATTGACATTTGCCTTTTTCAACCTAAAACTCTATTATTTTATGTTAATTCCACTGTAGCAATTTTCTATGTACTTTTTTCACTGGGGCACAAAATTTGAACTTTTCCCTTTATTTTATTTTAGATTTTAACATTTTCAGAACATTCTTCCATGTCAGCATATCCAGAATTATTGGAACAGCAAAAATCCACCACAGAAGAAAACAAAAGGTTTTTAAAGAGAATACAGGAACTTGAGATGACGCTAGAAGAAGTGAAAAAACAAAAGTTTATGGTAGAACAAGACCTGCCCAATGTTAAGGCTGCTGCTGAGATAGAAATTAAAAAGCACCTAAAAGCAGTCGAAGATCTAACCTTGCAGAAAACAAAAGCTGAATTTGAGGCACAGCAGTTTCGTTTAGAGCTGGAGACCACAGTCAAGATGAGGGCTGCTGCAGAACAGCAGCTTGAACATGTACGCCAAATGACAAGACAGGCTGAGTCTAAAAGAGATGCTGTTGAAGATAAACTTCGAGCATTCAAGACTCAGATAGAAGAAAGTACCACTGCAAGGAGAAAACTGGAAGAGCACTTAAAGAGAAAAGAAACTGAACTTCACGATCTGGAAAATAAAAAGACTAGTCTTATGGGAGAGCTAAAAAGAAAAGCTGAGGTTGAAGAGGAACTCTTGAGACAGATCAAACATCTGGAAAGTGATCTTGCATACCAGAAGAAGATTGTTGCTGAGAAGATTGAATATGAAACCAAAAGGCAATATTCCGATTCCCTATTCAGCTATTCGTCATCTAAAGAGATGGTCATACCAGCACGTACTGCACAAGAAGTTCATTATATGATTGATGGAGATGTACGGGGAGCACAAGTAGAGCAGTACTTAAAAAAGGCAGAAACCCTAAAGCAGCAGTTTGATGAGCTTACGTTAGTTCACAAAAAAGCAGAAATTGAAATGAAACAGTATAAATCAGAGCTAAGTACATTGCAGATACAAAAGGCAGCGGCAGATGAAAAAAATCGCCAGCTAAGGCATCAGTTAGATGATACACATAATATAGCACAGCAGCTTAAAATGGAATTGGAGCAGAAGAACCAACTAGAACAAAACTATGTGTTGCAATTAAGAGAACTTGAACGAAAACTGTATCAGAGTCAGGATAAAGCAGAAGATATCATGCAGGAGGCTAATGACCTAAAGAAAATCAGAATTAATTTTGAGGAAGAGCTAAAGGTATTGCATCAGGAGAAAGTTTCATTGGAGCATAAACTAAAGATGCAGAAAACTGATTATGATGATGTCAGAGAAAAGCTGAAAGCCTGTCAGGATGAATTTAGACAAAAAGATATGTCTGAAAGAAGCAGTCTTCAAAAAATAGCATTCCTAGAAGAAGATTTAACTAGAAAGAAACAGGACGTGGACGAATTACGTAAAAGAATGGAAGAGCTTTCCCGAGCCCATGCAAAGTCAGAGAGCAGCGTCAAACTTCTAAATTCTCAGATAACGTCATTGCAGCAAGAAAGAACTGTAATTGAGCACAGATCCAACTCTAGGAGCGGGGAGGTTGATAGTTTGCGCGACCAGCTAAAAAAATCTCAAGAGGAGCTCAATCAAAATGCCAGGGCACACAAGGAGGACCAGCAAAAGATAATGAAGCTCCAGGATGAACTGGCAAAAAGCAATCAGTGGTCTAATTCCCTGAAGCTGAAATTAGATGAGCTTACTAAATTGCACAATGAAACTGAGATGATGCTAAGAAAGGTGAAATCTGAATCTGAGAAGACTACTATGGAGAGGAATACTTTGCAGAAAAATATTGATATGACAAAATCACAACTAGAAAGCACTAAAGAACAAATCAGAGTGAGCCATGAACAACTACAGAAACAATCCAAGGGAGAGTATGAAACTCAGAATATGGTAAAGCGTCTCGAAGAAGAATTGTCCAAATCGAAAAATGCTCTAATTGAAATTAAACAGAAATGTGACAAGCAGAGTCTAACAATTCTAAATTCTGAAAAGGAGATACGAAACTTAAAAGCGGAAATAAACAGCTTGTCGGTTGAAAAACGGTTGGCCGACCAGAAGATTCAACAGCACCAGTCACAACTGCAAGAACTAAATGCAAAGTTAAAAAAGACACAGGATGAACTCCACAAGAAAATAGTTGATGAACAGTTGGCTCATAAGAAGCTTGTTTTATATCAGGAAGAATCTGCTAAATACAAGAACACAACAGAGGAATTCAGGATGAAGTTAGAAAAAACAGTGGAGTCTAACCTAAGCACTGAAAATAATTTTTCAAACTTAAGGCTTGAAGTTGTTTCCTTGAAGCAAGAAAAAGCAATCTTAGAAGAGAAACTTAAACTAATGAAGGTTGAATTTTCAGAGGTTAAGGAGAGATTACAGAGATCCCAGGATCAACTGAATATTGAGAAAAAAGCAGCTCTAGACCATTCTCAGAAATGCAGAAAACTAGAGGAAGAATTTGAGAGCCAGAAGCGAACACTTGAAAGCCTTAAACAAAAAATTGACCTGCAAAGACAGGATCATATTAACCAACTGAGATACTTGCAGAATGAAATTCAGCAAACTAGCAGCCTTAGGAGCCCCCTTCAAAAAGGTGAATATGACGTTAAAGGAAACAGCTTTGCCTTTTCAAGTTCACAACAGGATTTTGACATACTTAGCCAAAGAGCAAAAGCTTCACCTGTGTTGAGACGAAAAGTAGATGGCCATCTTGATGTCAGTTCTCCTGTTTATAACTCCACACTAATAGAAGAAAAGAAGACACGCGTGGATGGGTATGATGAAACTGTGCAAAAGGAGCTTCAACTACAACTATCTAGGATAAAACAGTCCCTCGATGGTGGAGACAAGGCAAAGCCTTTTACAGAGTATGTTACACAGACCAGCACAGAGCTTCAAATATCTATTGACAACATGAATCCCTACAGACAGCTATCGGAGCTAGAGACTATAAAGGATAAAAGTATACAGAATGCCTTTCACACCTTAAGAATTGAAGAGGAGAAAATGGGAAAGGAGCTAGGAAAATATGATCAATCTATGGAGGTATTCATTTTGTGTCCTGCTTTCCTTTATGCTACATGACATGCTTTGCTATTTATGTTCTTGAATGTAATAGTTGAGATCTTTTTGCTTATGCAGTCTGCAGTTATTTTTCTTTTTTTCGTGAAAAGTACTGTTTGATTTTAAGACATGTACTTTCCATATTATGTGTTGAGGCCACTATTGGAGTTCGTTTTATATTAAACTAAGTGAAAGCTTATTGTGCACTGTTGTTACATGCATGGCTTGTGGATCTTAGCTGGATGTTGGTAGCTTACTTTCTCTGCATTAATTGTACATAATCTGTTTTGCTCAATGTCTTCTGCTATTGCGTAACTGTTTGTATGCTGAAGCAAGACCTAGACATAATCCCTAACCATCGTTCCTTTAAATATTGCTATTTGCAGATAGTGAAGAGCAAGCAGTATGATTTGACTGTTGAAGTTACAACTGTAAAGCAGGAAAAAGAATTCTTGATAAACAATGAAGATCAGGTGTTTGAAGAACGTAATATTTTGGAAGGATTTAGGAGATCAGATTTACCGAAGATGGGTTATATGTCCTCCAGTTATAAAAGCTATGCAGGCTCTGAGACATCCCTGAGTGACAGTTCTTCCACCGATGATAGGTTCATCTTCCAAGGGCTCAGAAAAAATGTGTCTGCCAAACAATTGGTAGAAGCTAGAATTCTCGATGGCAAAACCATGGAACAGCTTGAGTCAGGTCGTACAAACGTTCAGGAAGTTCAGAAAGCACTCGAAACATATTTAACAAAGGCTACTGCAATAGCAGGTTTATACCTTGAAGCAAGTAGAGAAAAAATATCTTTCAGTTTAGGTGCAAAGAAAGGGATTATTGATAAAGGTTTGGCGTTTGAGTTTTTGGAAGCACAAGCAGTGACAGGTTTTATCATTGATCCTTCTACAGGCAAAACATATTCTGTTGAGGAGGCCATCACCAATGGATTTGTTGACCAAGAATTTAAGGAGAAGCTCCTTGAAGCTGAAAAAGCAGTCATAGGATACATTCATTCGAACAAAAGGCTTTCTGTTTTCCAGGCCATTGAGGCTAGGCTCCTTGAAAGACAGAAAGGCAAAAGGATTCTCGAAGCTCAAATTACCACTGGAGGAGTCATTGATCCTATTAGAAGTGTACGAATTCCAGCTGAAGTGGCAGTTTTGAAGGGTTTGTTGAATCATACAAGCTTAAAGTTTTTGCATGAACCAGCTAGTAATGTGAAAGGTTTTCACTTTCCAACTAACAAGCAGAGTATGTATTATTCTGAATTGTTGCAGCTATGTGTTCTTGATTTAGATAGCAAGACATTCCTTTTACCAATTGGTGACAAAAAAATTACCGCCTTTTCTGCAGAAAAGGGTCACAAAATATGCATAGTAGATACTCGATCTGGAATTGAATTGACACGATTTGATGCATATGAAAGGGGACTCATTGACCAGAAGACCTATCTTGAGCTTTCACAGTATGAGTGCCAGTGGGAAACTGCTACAGTTTTTGATTCCCAAGGTAAATCACAAACACACTTAATTGATCGGAAGACAGGAAGACAGTTTATTTTGGAGGAATCTGTCAGCCAAGGAAAAATTGACAGATTACAAATTAGTAAGCTTAAAGAGGGACAGATTTCTACCACTGAGTTAGCTGACATTTTAGTGAGCAGAACAAGACCAACCAAAGATCCAAATAGTCCTTTAGCAGGACTTTGGATCTTTGAAACCAGTGAAAGAGTCTCTGCCTTTAAAGCACTGAGAAGAAACATGGTAGATAGGGTAACGGTGTTTAGATGCATTGAAGCACAGGTCAGCACTGGTGGAATCCTTGATCCTTCAAATGGCAAAAAGTATAGTGTCTCAGAAGCATTACAGAAAGGCTTAATTGATGAGGTCTGTGCTAAGCAAATCCACCAGTTTGAATTAGCTTACACTGGTGTCGTTCAGAGTTCAACTACAGCACTTCTGTCTGCCTGTGAAGCCATGAACTTGAACCTCTTGAGCAAAGAAATCGGTAATCGAAGCCTCGAGTATCAGTATCTGACTGGAGGATTAATAGATCCTAAATCTCATGCCCGCTTGTCATTGGAAGATGCCATCAAAAGAGGAATAGTGGATGCTGCCACAGCAACAAAGCTTAAGGATGAAAAGTCTTATGTAAAAAATCTTACTTGTCCCAAATCAAGGAGGAAGATCTCTTACAAAGAGGCTCTGGAAATGGCAGTTTATGACTGTCATACAGGACTTCGCTTGATACAAGCACCTCTGCCTGTGAATGTCGGAATTCCTAGCCTTTATTTTTCCTCGCAATAGTGCCAATGACTTTGCATGCTATGGTACATCTGTATAAGTAGTCTGTTGAGGTGGCAGAAAATGGTAAAAAAGGAATGGACTCCCACCATGAAGTAGAAAAGCAATGTGAGAGATGCAGTTTTGTGATATTGTCAAGGATGTTCACTTTTAAGTATTTGCTTAAATTGAATTAGAACTTCAATACCACATGCTATGTATTAGAGTATGTATAATGCTCAGCTTATGTGTGTAACAGTGTGTGTCACACTGTTGAGTATAAGCTTGTATTGTCCCTCAAATAAGTGGCCCTTTCCGGCTTAAACCTACATACATGTATTATAGTACAGGTTTCCAGTGTTATAGATATTAATTGGGAGGTCGCTAAGCATAATAACGCTATTTGACCTTGCCATCAATCAGAGACATATAAACTATACTTAGGTTTGTGTTTCATACCAAGATTACTACTCCCACCTGTTCATATACTTGGTTTATCATACCCTACATCTTGTGTCACATAACACACTTTGTCACTCATGTCACATAACACGCACCCCCACTTGTGTCACATAAGTGTAGAATAGAGCAGCCTTTATCAGTGGGCTGAGTCTTTATTTATGTGATATGTTATATTTAATAACTCTCCACAAATGCACTGTAAATAATAGCAGCATTGTTTTTAGAATCCAATACTGCTGTAATAATTAGCCATATTGTTCCTATTGCTTGGTACCATGCTAAGCTATATGTTGAAGTAGGCTACTTTAAAAAGTCAAGTATGGAAAATGTAACATACCTGTAACACGTTGAACAAAATAGCATACATGTTTTTTCATGTTGTAACAAGCCTCAACTAAGGATGGTACTGAAGACAGACATTCCGTATCAGTGATATCATCAGGACATAAAGGATTTTTAAGTTGTTTTTGAATGATATTGCAAATTTTACCAAAAGGCAATTGTATGTGCACTGAGGGAAAATGCAAGTGTTTAAGAATATGGGCAAAATAGTTTTTTATTTTCACCAAGAAGAAGATGTTATTTGTTATTTTTATTGGTTAAGCATATGTTATGTTGGTCAAGCTAATGCAAAGGCAGCAGGTCTGAGAGTTTTGATTGTTGAGATCGATGGTGTTTTTATTACATGATGTCTTGTTCCTTCGAAAAAAATATTTTAGCATTGGGGTCCTTTCATCCATTAAAAAACAAAACACATCACTTTTGAAATCACTGTCAAATCTTTTTCTAGGAATAGTGAGGACATCCTCCTACTTAGCTATGCATATAATAAATATAAAGATATACATTAGGCCTGAATGATGTTTAACAGAAACATTAGGTTGAATATTGCAACGCTGTTTGACTTTTTAATTGTGATTTCAATTTCAGGTAATATTTTGGTAATTCGGTGAATATTGATATCTTAATTTGTCTGTGGATTTACACATAAGGTTGCCCCAAACATGGTATGGCTGAATAGACCCCACTGGTTCTTTTCCTTTACCATTACTCTGTATGTATTTTATGTTCAAGGTAGTTAAGGGCAATTATATTTTAATCTCGTATATTAACATATCTCTTTTAGAATGTATATGCAAATCAAAATGAATATTATACCACAACATTCTATACGAGTAATTTTTTGTGTGCAGTGATACAATGTATTTGTTTTCCCATCTGTAATATTTGTGTGTCTTTTGCAACATGCACTTATTGCTAGAAGTTACTGGAAGAGGAAAAGAAAGAGCACGTAAAGAAGGCAGGGGCTATACTGAATTGGGTTTCCAAAGTCAATAAAACGATAAGTAAAGGAGGAGGAAGTCAAGACACTGCAGAAAAGATGCTATTTTCTGATCCACAGGTATTGGAAAATAATGTGCAGCATCCAGAATTATAAATCTTCTATATTTTATTTCATAATGATTCATTTAATAAAAAATAAGTCTTTACGGTATTTTACAAAACCAATTGAATAAAGTATTTATAAAACTATTAATAAATGACACACAAACCAAAAAGAGGTACCTGAGGAACATCAGTATGTAGTATGTGGATATTGTGGTCCTTAACTTTATAGTTGCTGAGGTGTTTTGCAATGGGTCAAGAGCTTTCACCATCAAACAAAAATGAACCTTATGTATGCAACTGTGAATGCTGGTGTTGCACAAAATTGGACTCTATTTACAATTGTCTTTTACCAGCTCCACTATATAAAACAATGAAATATTCTCCCAGCTTTCTCCGATAGGCTGAACTTTGTCTTCCCTTTTAAGCATATTTTTGTCCCCAAATTAATTTCATTGGAGCAGAAAATAATGTTTTCACTTTTTCTTCCTGAAGGTTAGGATTAGCTTTTTTTTTTTTTTGACTGACTTCTCTTAACTGTTTTGCCACTTATACAGCATAATACTACCAGTCAACTACTTATTCCTGTATTCCTAATTAGTTATTCTGTATTCCCATTACTTGATATGGTTTGTTAGTCCGAATCAAATTATTCACACATATTTGTGGCAATAATTATATGTGCAACAAAACACTGGAAGCACAGCTGCTAAAACCAAGTGGGTCTCAGATGTGTACAGAAAGACCAAGACAGCCCAGTTTATGGATAAAACCGATTAATACCTATTGTAAAGTTTTTTTTTTCTTTTTGAAGTATTGCTTTTAGGGGCATGTTGATATACTTATAGATTTGAAGGCCATATTACAATTTTATATATTTACTTTTGTAGGATTACTTCAGCTTGTTGCCAATTCCATTCATAAGCTATTTTTGACCAGTGTCATTTGACATAAACCAGTCAAAGTTATTTTAATCACACATATGTTAAATAGTTCTTTATTTTTTTTAAGTCAGCTATGGGAGTAAATCCAGTACATACTTATGTAAACTGTACTACAGTAATAAGCCCTGGAATGTGCACATGAAAGTGGAACACTGCAGTACTGCTACACTGGTTAATGCATCACAGGTGTTAGGGTGACACCCCCTGGCAGGTGACACAGGCTTCCATGAGGGGCGGAGTCTAACTACCAGCCAGTGTTCACCAGAGCTCCTGATGGTGGAGATGGGCTTGGCTGCTTGCTGATACCAGGTCGCGATCCCCAGGGTTGCCCCGCCAAGGGATGGACGAGAACAGGAGGGCTCCAAAGAAGAGACACTAGTCAGATCCAGGCAGAATTCAAGGCAAGCAGCTAGCAGAGGGTGGTCAGACGGTCCCAGGTCAGCAACGAGTAATCAGAGGATAAACGCAGGAGACAAGAGCAAAGTGTGGTCCAGGAAGAAGATCAGGGCGAGTAGCAAGCAAAGAAGGGTCAGGCGGTCCGGGTCAGTAATGAGAAAACAGCAGAACTATAAGCTCTTTAGACTAACAGGAATCTGGCAAGAAGACACAGCACCAGCTCCTTGCAGAGCTATTGCTTAACCCTTTCGCTGCCAAGCCCTCCGGAACATTTTTCAAATCAGCTGGCCAAGCCATTTTTGAATTTTCTGCAATTTTTTCCTATTGATTTGATTTTCAACTGCTGCGTTGCTAGCGTTTGTAAAAG